ACGGACCTTCTGTAATTGACTCACTGACAAGATGGCTGCCCTCCTTGGAGAGTGACGTTGTGTACGTATACGTCTTGTGTACATATACATGTACATGTACAACAATATGGAATGAGGAATTGACAATTCTGTCTCGTTAGTGCACCAATGCGATGTCATCACTGTCATGGCCACTCATTTAAACTTTTCCTGAAGCAAATGAAGTCATTGAATCAACCCCCGACAAAAGCATGGAATTTGCCTGACAAGATCATGTCCGTACAACCAGATTCGTACCAGTGAAATTGTTCATGACAGTGGTATTCATTTCTGATGCAACTCGATGCGGGTGTGATTGGCGCTCGGGATACATTTTCCACGACCGGTGTCGAGTTTAATTTGCTTTACCATTACAATTAGTTCGTTAATGGCGTGCATCATTGCCCCAACTGTAAATGGAATGGGACTTTTGCTTGGTCTGTGCTGTGCACTTGTCTAGATGTTTGTTTTTTTGCAGATGTAGAGCAAAGACGAGTGAAATGCATCAGCATGTACATGTATATGACAGGACCTGAAAATCTGGGCATCACTAGATAAGCCAATTTGTTTCTACCCGTAAATACATGTATCCTCTGAACAATTTAATGCTTATCGACCAAAAATTGATATGTTAGTGTTAAGTTCAGCAAATTTTTGTAACAAAACCTTAAATTTAACTATACAATTTGGCTTTTTTGCCATGAAATACAACATTTTGTAAAATATAAACTGATAACATGAATTAGACTGTTGCCAATTTCTCTTTTTTTGTTGCAAGTTGCAATGGATTTCAAATTCAACTTCGCTCGTAAAATTTTGAATTGATAAATTAATTTTTAGCTGCTCAAAACTACTCTTCTTAAATCAAAGACACTGGTTTCTGTTGTGCATGATTCAACGAACCACTGCCCATACCCTTTTCAAAGGGCTTGATTCCTTCTTTGTTAATTTCTACAAACGCTATGGCAAATGTGTTATTTCACACTGGGTTTTGACCTATATGCAGGAAGGTTTCACACACAAAAAATGACACAGGGTGCCGAGGCTGCTGGGATACATTTATTTTTACACCCATATGCTGGAATGACACAAATGGGACAAAAAGGTACTCAAAGAATTTCAGAGCATTAGCAAGCTAAAGGATGGAAGTCCCATGTTGACACGACAAAACAGGTGATGAAACTGCAAAGAATGCAGCAGCAGGAAATAGATATACAAGTACCTGTGGGGATTTTCCATGAATAGCTGGCTTCTTATGTAGATAAGAGATTAGTTCATATGTTCATCTCCACGGATGTCAACGCTCAAAATTTTCTCTACATCACATGTATAACATTAATCCACAAAAAAGTGATCTTTTCAAGGCAATGTTTCAAACAATTGCAAACTGGAAATGTTATTATTTCAATACATGGTGTTAAATGATCAAGTAAGTCTTCATGAAAAGCAAGGTGTAAATGGTAGATCTTCATGATGTTCGTTTTCTTTATTCTTCCGCTGCCCTGATCAAGAAATTGTGGATTGGTTACGGTCTCATGAATGGTGATTTTCCCATAACTGTACACAGGTGTAATGTGGGGTAACCCAAGGACTCGTTTGTTGTGGGCTCAGCTGGTAAATTGAGGCGACAAGCTAACTAATAATTGGCTGTAATTGCAACACTTAAAACTGCTGGTACATGGGAAAGGGAGGACAAACAGGTCACTGCCCTCTTCCACAAATGGACCGTTTGGGGATTAAATTGTTGTAAAGCGAAGATGGCAATGAGAAAATGAGGTTTTGGTCCTACCCTGTCTACCCAAAGAGTTTAAAAAGGCTGCATGTTTTAGCCTTGCACCTTGTAAAGACCATAAAGATTACATGAAGAAGTGGTTTTTGTAACATGCCCCCCCCCCACTTACCCCACCTTTGCACTTGGGCAAACTGCCCTAATGCTATTACATGCAATGGGGGCTGCCTAGCAAAGAACCGATACCCCGGGCACACAATGGGGTTAAATCTAGTTTAAATGTACACAGCACACTAATAATTTCTCTAGACTAAGGCACTTAGGCAACCGATTGGATTGCAGTTTGCCAGCTTCATCTCACATCCAGACGACTGGAGACTAAGGCTTCACATTAGAGTAATGACTTTTCACTTGGTTTCCACAGCACCTAACTGGAAACTGTGCCGTGTAACACAGCTGCCCTTATACTATTCCATCTTTTATTGACGGCAATTTCTATAATGGAAAATTTATAGGACTTCACTCCAGACAAAAGCAGCAAGCTATTCACACATTTTAATAGCAAAACAGCTGCAATGTGATAAATTAAAAACCATGTTCTGGTAATCCATTTGGCGAATAGGAAATAAACAGTATTGCCCAATTCATCTTAAACCGTGAAAAAACAAAATACATGTACTGTATATCAGTTGATGCTCTCTTGGCAGTAAACTGAACAATCTGTGCCACACACGATTGGAGGAATTACTTGAAGGCACAATGGTGCTTAGTACACAGTGACAAATGTATCAGGATGCATACATTATCCCAACGGGTCATCCCTGCTGTTGTGATACGTAATAGCCATGCTGAACGTCACGGTGCTGAACATTTCCTGTTTTGTCAATCCCACAATGTGTTTATGGAAACACACAGCAGACTTGGGGCACAGTGTGTCGTGGCAGTAAATTTGTTCGCGTCAGAAAAAAAAGGCTCACTCTGTTTTAAATTGTACATTTACTCTATGGACGTGTACACTTCACGCGACACTAAAACACTGAGATCATGCTCAAGAGGCTGAGCTAATATTTAATGAGCGATTCCAATAAGCCAGGACTGGGGTTCACTTTAGCAGTTTATTTCCTGAAAAAAAAAACACCCAAAAAACACACCAACAGATTCAAACTCGTGTAATTTATCTGCTGTTGCAACAAAAGCCAGTGCATTATGCTTTAGACTGTACCACTACAGTGCATGTTGGAGACAGCCATGATGTTGCAAGTGTATTTTTGTCTAGTGCACACAAGTGGACAAGCAATGGAGTGCATGTACACACTCCATTAGGACTGCCAATCTTAACCAACAAGGACAGTCCTCCCCCATGTACATGTAATTGAAATCACTACTGGGCAGCTGTGAATGGATACATTCCCCCTCAAACATCCATATGGAAACTTATTTACAAGACAGGAACTTACATTGGGGGGGGGGAAACCAAAGATGGACAAAAAATCTGCAAATTGGAGGCAGTGTTTTACAGCAGGGGCAGGTGCAAACTTCTTTCCAACTATGAAAAAGCCGGAAACTAGCGGTTCCTTTGTTGGTTTAGTGCATTGTTTTTTTTTACATGTCCCTTAACCTAGTCTAGTCTTCTGAACAAGGTAAATCTAAACCATCCCAATTATTATTTTGTCCTAGTCATCTGTGTACATGTACCACCACCCTTTTCCAACACAATGATGGCCATGTAAGTAACTGTGCTCCATTACTCACACCGTTTCTTTGTGCACACCTAGGCGCTGTGGGTTTTCCTTTTGTTGGGCTACTCATTGCTTCGACCCCCCCCCCCGAAAATTGGGGTAGCCCAGTTTGTTCATAGTGAGGGGCCACCCAACAATGGGCGCGGAGCCAAGGTCTCTGCAGTGGCGCGTGCGGGCCACGTGCGGCATGCACGGTACAGAGAGATTGACCTGATCGGCCCTGCATGGGTCCAACTCGGCTTACTCGCTCCGTCCCCCCATGCTGATTGACGGGTGGCACGCTTGGAGAGCCACGGCCCAGGCACAAGGCCCGCACACTACCCTTGGCACGCGACTGGAGTCGCGTGTCGCTACACCACACTGCGCAGAAGTCCTAACTTTGTCAAGGACACCGAGGCAAGATGGCTTATCAGCTGCCGACTCTCACAAGGGCTAAACCCGGAACTTTTTTTCCGGTATGCCCATGTTACGTTCTGGTTCTCCCTGCGCTAGCTTGTTATTTCCCCTTTGCTGGTTTCAATTCAAAGAAAAGAAAGCTGATTAAAACAGAGGTTGTATCTTAGGGGGACAGGTGTGAAGTTTATATTTAACATTTTCAAACCCTCTTCCAAAAAATTCAACATGAGCCAGCAATATGGAAAAAGGAATCCATTTCGGCTAGGCCTACCACAATCAAAATATCTTGACATGGGCTACTATTTGCCAACATTTGCAAAACTTTTAAAACAAGACGGAGCAATAAAGTATTCTGTAGAATTCCTAGAAAAATGGGACAAATAGCTCAGGTTATTGAGAAAAGCATTGGGGATGTGCGAGTCATTTAACTACATCAACTTTTCTCCATTGAAAATATTCCTGTTAGGCATGTCAGGCTTTGCTATTTCCCCTCTCCTCAGCCCTATCGAGACACAAACGAGATGTGGTTCGTTTCGGCTAGAGACCGACAGTACTTTTGGGGAAAAAATTACAGGACAAACATGACCAATTTTGATTACTGAAGTTGGACTTGGCCTCCACAAAAATGACCCCAGTGGCAAGCACAATTAAGACGAATTCCCAGGCTCAGTGGACACAAATCTGTTTCATAGGCCTATATTTCCGAAGTTTACGGTCACTTGGTTTTTTGGCCAGTAGCCAACCGAGCCTTAAAACCAACTTTCCTGTACATTTCTAGCAGTTTTTTTAATTTTCATTTTGTTAGATCTGAAACTAAATTTGACAAGTTTAGACTACCATACAATAGTCACTGAATCCCAAAGGCATGAAAGAAAAGCATTGGTAGACCTATCCCTATGCCAGAGTAGAGGATCTAAAACCAATGTCTTCAGTTCGACCTGGGCCCTACTCCGTCTCTTGGCATTTACAGTCGCGGTTGGGCGAGCGAAAGATTCGAGAAATACACAAGCTTGCAATGGTCAACATAACAACACAAAGAAGTGTCAATTGAGCTACAAACACAAGGGCTCTGAAAGCAGAGAAACACGTGCTTTATAACTGTAGCCTAAGTAGCTTACCTTGCTGACGAAGGATCCGAACCGGCAGAGTAGTCGTCCGAAGACCGAGTAAACTCCGTGGATTGGTACACGCAATTCATGCAAGCAGCGGGGTCAACTCTGACCAGGGCTCCGTCAGTGTGCTAATCCGAGAAATGTCGCACTGGGGTTTTTTATAAGACAAAAAAATCGGCTCCTGAGTTAACTGGACCCGACTTGAATTGGAAATGTTGAGTGAGTCAGCGTGACTGTTTTTTTTTCTTCCGAAGAGACGGTGGACGGTCGAGGGGGAATGACGAAGTCGGTGTCGGCCAGCTGCAATGTGCACGACGATGTAGGGTGACCTCACCAGTCAGACTAAGTAATGGCCCCAATAGGAAAATGTCCTCTTCCCTATACGCAGAACACTAGAGCACTAAGCACTAAAACCTGCCCTAGTCGGCCGACGCAAAATTATCGGTTGCAAACGAAGAGAAAACGGCTTAAATAAGGGAAATTTTCGGTACAACGAAATGACTTGTCAACTCCTACAGATAACACAACGTACGGATGTGTGTACCGAACAAAAATACAGAGAACGTGCAGGATTCGTTTTTATAACTCATACCCGGAGGACGGATAACGCACAGCTGGATGGCGGTGAATATCACTGCGCCGCCGCATAATACTGGTGATGTCTCATCGCGTGCTCGACCGTCGGTGATGCCTGTCTGTTTACGTCGGAATATAATGAATAATAATTGCCTTCATCAGAAAATTCTGTGGGTTTTTCACTTAAATTTTTACAATTCATCGTAGCCCATATCGAATATTTGAGTAAGACCACATTCTGTTACCAATTTAATAATGGCTATTGGGAATTTCATATTTTTAATGTATTCTTTTAATCTTCATTTGCCAAGAAGCCGGATCATTTCTCCCCTTCAACAGTCAACAGTTTGTTTGTTGGGTTGTTTGTTTGTTTGTTTGCTGGGGTGTTTGTTTGTTTTATTAACCTGTCGGAGTAAAAAATCTATTGAACCAAAATGAAGAAAACGCAGAGACAAAGTCCAGAATGCCTATGTGATCTTAAAAAATATTCATTTGAGACACCGATTACGTAAGATTAGAATGATAGACAATATCAATTCCACTTAATAAACTTCTGAGCTTGTCAACAATTAACACTTGGTCGATTTTTTATTGCAACACGAAAAATTTTGGTCCTCATTTTCCCTCTCTACTTGCTTAGCAGGGATTAGCCGCCACCGAGAACAGAGAGTTGGAAATTAATAGTTAACACGATTCATGTATAGACTAGACTGACAATCGTTACCCGAGGTGTGTTTTGACCACCAGCCCAGCGAGTGAGGGCGCAAATCAGCAGCAACGGTTGAGGTACTTACCTACCATACAATGTACATACCATAAGCTGACGTGTACATTAAACTTTGTGAGTCTTTGCTCGATCGACAGAGTTCGTAATTTAGTATTCAGGAAAAAGAACACATTTCTGTGACCTGGTAATCTCTTTTGTTTGAACGAAAATAGCATTGATGTTTTATAGCAAATTCCAGGGAATAGTTTTGAGAACTACTTTCTAATCTAGTTAGATTTCTATCCATGGGCATGGGCCACTTCGAGCTGGCATTAATGTGCGCGCTGCTTTTTTTACAAGCCGTTCTGCGTTGATTTTAAAACAATTATGTCTGACAATGTAACACTTTGCCAATTCCCAGATCACACTTTTTTGTATGACTGGAAGTTCCATCTTGCAGTTCTACACAACTAAGTCAACGAACTAGGTGCCTTCAGAATGTCATTGACGATTTTATGAAAGTACCTTCTCAAAGGGCTTATTTCCACTGCCACTCCACCCTTTGTACGAGAAAACCATAACATGCTTGCCTAATCCCTTATTAGAATGACATCATACGACCAGACTGTTTCTTCTGCCGCACAACAAAAACGTAACACTAGGCAGTCTAGTTTACAAAATAAATTAATGCATTTACATTGTACATACATGTAGATAAATCTTCACATTATTCAACAGGAAAGTGAACTGGAGAAAACACTGGATACAAATCCCGCAGGAATTAAATTGACTAGCTTATTATTGCTGACAAATGCCGTAGCGAGCAGGCTCAATGCTACACAATACATGTGTATTAGATACACATACTCGGGAAATTTTTGTCCAACATTTTGACTAAAATTCACCAAATGCCTGTCAAGCAATGTAAAACTGCATTTGCATCTCTAGACAACCCCACAGGAACATTGAGCATAAGGGAAAGGAGAAGAAAGGGAACGGTTCGAGGAATGTGAAATCAGGAAAAATTCTCAAATATGTGTTTCAACGACCAAGAAAGGTGTCATTCTTGACAAAAATATTCGGAGTTCCGACGCATAAAACTGACTGGGTTAAATACAAAGACTTTTGCTACACGTTTTCTCTGCAAATTTGACTCTTAATTAATCTAATTAGAAGAGAGCACAACTTTCAAATGCACGATAACGTACGATCTGTCGATTGCATTTACTGAAAGTCAATGACGATTTTATTTGTTTCGGGTTGGCAAATTTGTCATTCAGTTGCTGCCTACCGGTATCTTCACCTCGTTTTGTGGTGATGATAAGTTTAGATTACATATATATCTATCACCAGCATACTCATCAACCGATGATTTTTGTCAATCTTATTACCTTATCAAAACATAATAGTTACATCAAGGTTAGAAATGATCACAACGGCGCTAATGTCCAGAACCATCCAAAAATACCTGCATGCTGCTGCTGCAGGCTCAAAATCAGAATAACGGCAATCGCGTCCACCTTTTCAGATCCGGTGTAGAACCTCGACGATAACATTGCCAAATTTAAACAAATCCACGAAGATCCCACAACATGGCAAGGTAGCCGCCTACAGCTTTCCTACACCATCATTACATCAGTGCCGTTGTTAGAGTGATCGAAAATGGGTTCGACATCACTCGGAACGTTTTGCTTATCAAGGGAGGTTCTCTTTCCCGGACGCCAGGAAATTTTGCTCTAATTCACTGGCGCCACCTGATGAATGGATTTCAAAGTATTTAGACCCTCCCTGCGCCTTCATAAGACAAACTGTAAAACAATACCTTTTGTATTTATAGAGCGAGCGGAAACAGGCCCCCACGTGTTTCACGCAAGGCAGTGCTCCCTTAACGACATCTTTTTTTTTCTGTCTTCGATTCAGTTAAAATTCACAAGAACGCCTTATTCTTAACAATTAGCAATTATGGTAACAGTGCAACAAAAAATTAACTTCCATACCGGTACTTCAAGTGTTTGAAAACTGAAATTTGACACATAAATTGATCGTGCTTTGGGCTGAAGTGTGTAGGGCAATGTCTAGAATGCGCTTGTCTATGGACCTCGTATTTGGTTGTGAATAGGGAAAACATGCCCGGCATCTTGACAGATCTAGGCCGGACACAATACTAGAGTGGGTGTGTAACAGCCTGGAATGTGTCCCAAATTGTTTCTGGGTTGTAAGCATTCCGTTCAATTATTATGCAAAATACATGCATTTAGCATAGACTCTTAGTCTTCGGCGCGTGCCGACATTTTACCGACAGGTGTTTTTATCGGTTGCGATTGACACTTTCGGAAAGTAGTTCCGACTCGGAAAAAGTTCCAGTCCTGTCTAATAGGAGGCCATCGTGATGGGGGAAAAATGGCCCCAAACCATTTTTATTGTCTGGTTCAGTTCCATTTCTTTACAAACCATAAATTTGGCTGGGTATTACTATTAAACATCTCTTTCCTTTGGGTCCTTGTTATCAGGCAGAAATTAACTTAAGAGATGTGATAGTTTAGCAAACTATCAATTTTTAGCAAATATTTAGCAAACGTGCAATTTAATCATGCACAGGAAACATTACCCTAAACTGTCGCCTACAGGTGCACCCATATCAAATAGTTACAGTTTCCTGACAGCAATGCTTTCGCTAAAAATGTCGTAGGCCTATAGGCCTACTTGATACATCACGTGGATCGGGTTCGTCTTCTTTGGTCTGGCTTACGAGATTTTCCCTCTCGTCATAATGTCTAACTGGAAATCGAGCTGTTCTAGTTCAAGGGTCTTGACAAGACAACTTTCCATTTATTAACTCCACAAGACCCAGTTCATGCCACCAGTAATTTTATGAACGCCTTCGTCATTGTTCAGATTTTAGAGAGGTGCTGCTGTGTGGTTGAGCGATTATTTTGATTGGATGAAATTTTGGTTGAATACTGGCCCATGGCGCGAGAGAGGAACGCATACATGTGTAATACGCCCTCGACAAACTCGGAAAGATATATATATTTTTAAAGTAGGCTCTTACATGTACAGTGGTGCAACCAAGGGAGGGGTCGAGAGCTTTAGTCTTTTTTAAAATTAATTGTTATTTATTTTATTTTATTACTATTTTTTTTACGAAGACACAATATTTACCTTCACCTTAAACACTACCAGCACTGATAGCCACAGATCACAGTCCCCTGTGGCGAAATGGGAGGGGGAGGGGCTTGAGCATCATGAGCTATTCTGGGGTAAATTCCAGTCCGAGCCCCCCGCCCCGACAAATTTTAGGTTCGCCACTGCACACACTGACTATCAGACTATCGGAACCCAACATGTGTGCGCCTCGGTACTGTCCCTTGGTAAGTCATCATTTGAACTTGATGCAACAAACTTATAAGCAACGTAAATTCATCATCTAAGTGTTAATTATTATAAATACATGAAACGTTTTCTTGATATAATAACACAAGAATGTGATATGAAAAGAAACTGGTTCACCCCCAGTAGTGTTTGTATACCGTATTCACACCATTTGTAATTGGTTCCAATAGATATCCGAATTTTTAAGGTTGCACCTGCATCCTCAGCATGTGCAACGGGCATCTTACGTAAATATTGTTAGGTGTAGATCATGTGGAACCGGGTTAATAACTGTACACAACAGAAACAAACCCGAGCTGTGTCCTGTAGTCTCGTAAAGGTTATCATCATTGGTCCCGGGATGTCCTCAGTTGATGCAAATTTGATCAGATTATGGCAAGCAAGGAATCACAAGTTTCCCCAGCGTTTGCTATCCATTTATAATAATAATTTTTTTTGGGGGGGGTTGTAAAAATATTGTTTGCAAACACAACTGACATTGTCGAAAATCAAAGGCAAACATTAACCACACTCAGCCGACAAACAGCACAAAAAGAGTGGTGTAATAGGAAGCAATGTAATCATTTTGCCTGCCATGATGATGATCTCTAGAGGGCGTTCCGCCAAAAATACAGCAGGTGGCTGAAGTTCAGTTTTGTAATTAGCCTGATTTTAATTGAACGACAATGACTTCAATCCTTGTAGATATTGTAAACACTGACTGAAACCAGTTTAGTTTCTATTTTTTTCAAGGTGTACAAATGTCAGAAGGCTGCTGCCCTAATCATTGCTCATAAGGCCTATACTTCATTTATATTATGATCGGTATATTAATTTCTCATCATTACAATAATGGTTCAATTCATTCTTCCATTTTGTCAGTTATTGTTGTATCACTTTGCTTTGAGAGGAAAGAAAGTTAAGTTTATGTTTCTAGTTGTCTGCAAACCAAA